GAAGTGAATATTTATGGTGAATTTTTTGTGAAACTCTGGGTTTGGAGGTGTTAAAACTGCCTAAACATGAAGCCTACAATTTATGTTCATCTTTTTTTTTTTTTTTCCAGGGAATATGGGGCAAGAGCTTTTCCAAGTTGTGATTCAGGGCTTTGAATGGCTTCTTGTATCATCCCCATTGTCCAGTGGCGATAGAATGAATTAGTCTTCTAAACCTTGGCACATGGATTAAGTTTTTTATGTGAATATGCCTTTGTGCCATTTTCATGAGTTACTCCACACCATACTTATATATTTCACAGGCTAAATTGCCCTAGGTTCTGCTAGTGTCTGTAAATTATTATAATCAGGACTACTGCTGAAAGGTCCATGAATCCTTCAGAGCAGGACACTCCAGCTGTGCTCGTTCAGCGCCCGTCACAATCAGGCCTGATTCTTGCCTGGAATTTCTGGGCACTGTAACAATACAGAAAGTAATGCTAATAGCCTTTGGCTGTTGTCTGCAGATGTTGAACCCAGGAGGCAAGGCTCTGCATGCAGGAAGTACTAAAATACCCCATTTTCCTAGGACAGCAGTGACAGATTGTTGAACTCGTGTGTTCCCAGACCAGAAAGACACAGAACACTGCTGAAAAAAAAGGAGAGCAGGAATCAGAAACCAATGTGACCGAAAGATTTCAGCCAGTTTCTGCTTTGCACTAAGCTGCAAAAAGTACCATCACCAGTGGGATCCAGGGAACTTTTAGCAATTTTTAGTATGATACTAAGTGAAAAGATATTTACACATTTCTACTATGCTTTTTGGAAAAGTCTTTAGTGTGGAGTAAGTGTGCTTTCTGTTAAGGCTGTTGCAACAGCTGCTTGCAATCCTGTTCATTCTAATGTAGCCAGCAGGTAAGAGAATAATCATTTATCAGCCTCTTGCTTTCCTTGCCAGGTATGAAAAAAAATAGCTAATGGTATATACAAAGACACTTCTGGTTGGATTAGCCAGAACAAACTGCCTCTGTTTCAAACAAAGCTATTGGCAGCTTTCATTTCTGGATCAGCAGAGGAAGTTTACCAGCAAGGGTTAGAATGTCATTTACACAACAGAGCCAAAACCCCCAAAAGGTCAGAAAAACTTAGCACATTTTTTAAGAGGGACTCAACTATTCTTGTATAAATAACAGGACAGAAAATGGCTCCATTTTTCTCCAGTCTGTAGCACATCAGTACCTCTTCAAGCACTTAGGATACCTCTTTACTCTTGCAGGTTAGAAACATTTCTCCTCTTTTCATTACTCTTCCCCATGCTCTGCAGTATCTGCAGGCTGAGAGTAGCTGTACAAGCATCCACAGGAAAGCAGAAAACTCTGTTCTGTGGCATCATACACAGGTCTGAGAGTGAACCCAAAATGCTGAATCACAGCTGTGGCAATGGTAGGTGAATTGTAAATCAGCTTCCAACATCCTGGTTTTACTGTTGTGTTTAAGAAAGACAACCTTTAGTCTCCAGATAGAAACAACATAACTCACTTTCTAGTGGTTTGTACAAACTTATTTTTCATTTGCCACATTAATTTTCATCATCTCCAACTGTCCATAACCAAAACCAAGTTAGAGCTTCTCTGTGACACTCAGACAAAGTGACAAACTTGTCATAGTTTTAGAAGGACACTGGCAGGTCCCTCTGCATTGACTTGTTTTGTTGTGAGAATTATGACTTTTTAAGAACAGTTTAGATTTCTCCTTCTTTCCAGCACGATGTGTTCCACACAGTAAGACAAGAGAAGAACATAATGTCGAGGGAGCACAAAATCATGTGAACCCTTTCTCTGGGAGCCTCCAGTCTGCCTAACATGCAGAGGGGGGTACCAGCGTTGGTTACTTCATGGAAGTTGAAAGACAATGTCTTGGCACTAGGTAGAAAATTCCTAATATCACAGCTCACTACAGGTTACTCAAGGATGTTACATCAATGATCTTAATGATACCTTGATGTTTTATTCCCTCCCAGCTGCCAGAAAAACTGATCAATGCTGGACACCCTCTTTCTACTAAAACCTCAGTCTAACTCCATATCCTTTCTTTCAAAGGAAATTGTTTCATTTCAAACTTTATTCCATAGCAGGAAGTCTTTGAGAATAAATGAGATTTTGAATTAGTCTTAACTTTGAATTAAGTTATTTCCAAGTATGACACAAAAAATAATATATTAGTGTTAGATACTTAGGATTGTGTTAGATACTCAGTATTCTCCTACTTTTTGATCAAATGGCATTGAAAGGGGCAATGAAAAATTACTTACAATACTTTGATAAACAAAGACTGAAGCATACATTTTCAAAATGTTTTATGCTCTTCAGTTTTTCTTTTTTGTATAAATTTTTGTCAAAAAAAATTCTTTCAAACATATTCAAGCAACTTATGAAGTAAAATGTAATCTTGTTTTTTAGTTTCTTTTATCCTAGAAGTTGTGATTCCAAAATCCTAAAATCCTTGGTCTTCCATGGCCTCATGGCTGATTGACATGCTCCAGCTGCTGAAACAAACAAAAATCAAAACTACTTCATTTTGTATGGTGCATTTTAATAAGCGCATATTGTCTGAGGATGGACACTGTCTGGAGATAACAATAATATTGTTATGTGCTACTATAGATTGAGAGTCCAGCCATATGTTTTCTTGGTGTTTGTATTCACAAGTCCGAACTCATTCACTAAATAGTCCAAGGGTAAATCAGTAGCAGATGATAAAACTTCAGATCCTAAGTCACTCTGTCATGTTCATACTGCTGCATGTTTCTCTTCCTGCAAAGACAGAAATGTGCTTCCCAGCTGGGGACGTTTATGGACCAGTAAAAAAAGAAAATGATTTTTAAAATGTACTTAAGGGTCATGCAAAAATATCCTGGCACCTAAACACCACTGGAATAAAATATTTCTTACAAACAAATAACTATAGAACCTGCATAACCAGCTAGTAAACAGAATGAAATATATCTTTAAACTCTATCCTTCTTTTTTAAAGTACAAATTCTGCCATTTTCTTTCTTTTTAAGGGGTGCTTATCTGTTATAGACAAAAAGAGCTGGAAGATTTTCTGCTTTGAAGATATATCCATTTTGTTTGCATGAATCCAAGAAAATCTGGATCCTCTCAAGGCCACATCAAAGAGTTTATCATGCTCATGCATCAAAAAAGTAGTGATAGAGATGCACTTTTAAGAGCAAAGCCTGCAGCTTCATTTTTGTCTTTATATTTAAATGGGACTTTCAAAAAGAGAAAAAATTACAAGAAAAGGCAATTTTTCACAAAAGGAAAATACTCATCTTTAAAATGACTTTTCAACTTAACTGAAAATTAAATATATCTTTCTAAAATAAAGGACTCCAATTAGGAATTAAAAAAATCTATGATTAATTTAAGCTTTGAAGAAGAGTAAACAATGTGTTTTTCCTTGCAACATGAAAGAATATTTTATCTTTAAAGAAATTCAAGCATTAATTGTCTCTTAATCCAATCCTATGATACCCTGCAGTATCTATCTTAGTAATATTATCCCATGTCCTGTGCCAACTCACTGCCTTATAAAGACCTTTTATCTTTGATTCTCTTGCTTGAGAGGGTTACAGCCACTAAATCTCCAAAGCCTCCTCTTTCCCAAGAAAGACATCACACAAAATTGAGTCAAACATCTCAGAGTTTCTGTTTTTTTCTCTCAGTTTCCTTTCTCATCTATCACTGCCTTTCAAAGTCATGTCAGTAGTATTTCCATTAGTGATGGGTTGTTTTGTTGGTTCAGGCAATCACTTTCAGTTTTATTATCTATTGATGTTTATAAGGAAGCACTGATCTCAGTTGACACAAGAATACTGAGTGGGCAAGGCTTCTTTTTGGCCTGTGTCTCTAATCCCTTATGTTGTTTGAGATCTCATGACCTTTACAGCAATGCAATTGTGAACAAATTCTGTTAACTTCCTCAAAGTCTGAAGGAAAGGCAGTCCTGGAAAGCTTGTCTAGGTGCTAAAAGTGCTTTCTCAATCCTGCCAGTATTCATAAGCTGTGATTGCAAACTGAAATTTTAGAATTAAAAATTTAGAATTATTTGTTGGGCTACAGTTAAATTATAGGACTTATTTTTGCAGGATATTTCCATGGCCAAAATTACTAATGTAAGTGCTTTTTTACTGCTTAGTAAGCACAATAGCCCACATTCTACTTTTAGCTTAAGAATCCCTAATCCACTGGCTGGACATACCTCCATTCTTATTGTCCATAAGCTACCACTGCTACTCACGGGTGGACACCTAAAAGTTGAGTAGAATGACCTTTAGTGTGATATTGGTAAAAGAGTTATTCTATCATTATGTTTATGTCATGATGTCTGTTTATACCATTTCTTTATTTGTGTGCAGAGATGAAATAATGCTATCATTACCCTCAAATTCACTCTGTCTTTTCATATGAGATTAATAAGGATTAATTTAATAACATTTAGCTAAATAAATTAATTTAATTACACTGTAAACTACAAACCTAATACATAGCTAAGTGTCAACTCTCCAGAGAACTGACACCACTGTGATTAATGCTATAATTTTTCTCATTTTCCATGTCGTTGGGCACAGAACTTGTCACTCATTATCTCAGACATATAGCATGGTGATAAGTGGAGACAATGCATGATTCTCAGCCTGTTTCACACTTTCTGCTCTCAAATGAATCCATTTAGCTCCACTGAAAAACCTAGATTCAATGATCTAGGTCTGAAAATCTTGTTACTAGTTAGAAGCTGCAGATGAATGGCATATCATGATATTCTTGCCTGCATAACTTTTAATAATGGAAAAGTAAAATGGCATTGATGTTTTCATGTTTCTGATTGTCTTCATTTGCATCCTGGTTTCAAGGCTGCTTGAAAGTTTATTATGGTTGGCTAGGCTACAGAAAAACATTATGTGCAGTCACCCTGGAAGCCTAAAAGCACTTTTGATTTTCTCTATCCCACTTTTGCAGATTAAGGATATTCTGAGTTTCCCTGGACACTCTGAAGAAGGATTCCAGCTCAGTTTATATGGGATACTCTTTTTTGAGGAAGCAGCCTTGCCTTTTTGATGCACCATGCCTAATTCTAGACAGAACAATACCGCTGGAGCTGCAATTTCTTGATCACCAAACCTCCAAAACAGAGAAGGTGAAAATGCATACCGATTCCAGATTAGTCTATAATTACAAATTCTTGACAGGTTTATATGTAGGGGTCATGCTTACATGTGTTTATCTGTCTATGACAATGACATATAGTCCCAGCACTGCATTCATGTGAGCACCAAGGGGTCCCCCAGCAACCTCCAGGCCTCCACTTCAAGGGGAAAGAAAATGTTCACATGCTCCAGGACTCCCAGGCAGCGATTACTTGGGATGGAGGTGGAGTATCCATGACCTCACTCTCTCCACTGTTTTGACATGTCGCAGTTGCTTTTTCCATATTGTCTGAGATTCCTGAAGCTAAAACCACAGCCTACTTTTCTGCTTCATAGAGACAAGGCAGTTTAACAGATCCATTTTCAGTGAAACACCATTGTAAAGGGAATTTGGTACTTCAGCTGAAGCAGTCCTTGGACTTTTTCCACTGTCCTTTAATAAATGTGAGTACTTAGACTGGTGATCAGTCATAACCTCTGCTGGTTCTGCGCAAAGATGTTCATCTATGAGGTCAACTAAAGTGATAGTTTTATACAAGAAACTCCTTTTAGGTATGTACTGAATTTTCAGCAAGAATTGCAGCTTATTATGAAAGGTTAATATTTCTTTGAATAGGGAGCTGGATTTGTGTCAAATTACTTCTTGTGGAGTTTCAGATTGCCAAATACCTGCTACACAGGGACAGGCTTCCTTCAAATGCAACACGACCGTTTATTTAGAACATAGGGACGCCAGTCTGGCAAGAATTGCACAAGCTTCATAAAATAGTTCCAGACAGCACTAAAAGATATGTAGCATTGTATTTGGCATGAAAGAGTGTCATGGTTTAACTGCAGATGGCAGCTAAGCACCGGATATCTGCCTGTTCAACCTTCCCCCAGGCTGTATGGGGGCAAGAAAATTGAGAGAGGATAAGTGTGAAGACTCTTGGGTTGAGAGGAGTTAACAACAACAACAACAACAACAACAACAATAATAATAATAAACAAAACCAACAACAAGAAGGCAGAAATTAAAAAGAAGACAGCAGAGATAATTAAAATTCAAGAAAGGCAAGTGATGAAAATTAAAATAATTGCTCACCACCAACTGATGGATGCCTAGCCAGTGCCTGAGCAGTGAACTCCTGAACAATCTTCCCCACAGCTTTATATACTGATCATGATGCCATATGGTCTGGAATATCCCTGTGAATATCCCTGTGATTGGAGTCAGCTGTCCTGGTTGTCCCCTCCCAGCTCCTTGCATACCCCCTGTCTGGTGGGGTGGTGTGAGAATCAGAAAGGGCTTTGACTCTGTGAAGTACTGGTTAGCAATAACGAAAGCATCCCTGAGTTGCCAACATTGTGTTCAGCAGAAATTCAAAACACAGCCCCAAAACAGCTACTGTGAAGAAAATTACCTCTACCATAGCAAAAAACAGTGCAAACAGTTGCCCAACAGACTAAATCAGTTCAAGTACATGAAACAGATTTCCTGAGGTCTTGTATTTTTGAAATCCAAAAATGAACTTCTTATGTGGATTGTAATCATTTTTTATTTAGTCATTGAATCTAATTTCATCTTCCATCAAAAATTACTAGCATGAGGAAAAGACTGATGACCACATTTTACTGCCCTCATTCAGGCTGAGGACTGGTTTATCCCACTGTTTTCCACGTTTGTCTTTCCTGACCTGCCCAAGAAATAAGTGAGTGAGCCCACAGCACTGCTGTGCAAGCAGACAGGGTGAGACTCAAAGTCAGGGATAAGTTTACAGCCAGAGTTTTTAGGTATAACACGTTATTTCTTCGTAAGGCCAGATTTTTTTTAAATGAGCAGCATTGCAACATCTTTGTACTTTTAAATATGGTCTCACCTCCTCCTTCCCCAGCACAAATAGATTATTAATAAATTGATTTTAAAACATAAAACTCTTCATTTTCATTCATGTTTGCCTGCTCCGTTTGTTACACAAAAAGCCCATGGGTCCTACATCACTATATCCATACAGTGAAGATCAATGATGGCAACAACTGTCAAAAGACATATACACATCCAGAATTAACAAATACTTGAATTTCTTTTGGCAAGCACTGTAAAAAGCATTTATCTTTTATCTCTGTACTTACCCTCTGAAAATATGGATGCATTCTGTGCAAAGATAATGACAAAATCAGTTGAAAAATGCCATTACAACGTCTTACATCTAGTGACTCTCTCTCCTTAGCTCACAGTGCTTGTGTTTGCAAAGTAAAATCAAAAAGAGGACTTTTCAGACACTATTCTTCTAACTTTTCCCATCTCTTCTAGAAACATGCAAAAAAATCTTCCCTTGGAGTCTCTAACATCTTAAAGCACCATTTCAAGGCAGTGATAATTGCTGTGTGGTCCCTCACTGCACCCAAATCACACACACAGAATGATAATCACTGCACTTCTGCCTGTATGTCATATTACAGCCAGGTTCCTACAGGGAAAATCCTCCCTGATTGTCAAGAAAATAGATCTAGGTTATGCTTTCTGTGAAAAAGTGGGCGTGAAAGCAGTGGGGGAGCAATGCAGAAGACAGAATGAGTTTTCAAGTGTTTTTTGCAGTGGTACAGCTGTGTGTGTTAAGCCTCAGACATATCCTGACATGACCAAACCATCCCAGGCTCAAATATGGCTTTTCTCAGGGTAGAACAATCAGTGCATTGGAGTCTGGCTTTAGTATTAATTTTAAACTTTTTAAGACTCATGATGGGAAGGTTATAAAGACCAGCCATGGAAACTTGCTTTAAATTGCATATATAGATTTATCGCTAAAAAAATTGCACAGTCACATCACTGATAATGTATCTTATTTGTTCCTCATTTAATAAAATTTTACATTTCTAATGTCCACTTTTTCTATAGACAACATATGAAAGATCAATATCTGGAAAGTTTCACAAGTCTGGATATATGCATGAAACCCTGAGTATTTCTATTAGATTTAGCATTTATCCAGAAACAGGTACCCAAGCATTTAAATCAACCATTTAGTGTGCCAGAGTTTTATCCTTTAAAAAAAAAATGTATTTTATGGGCTTCTTTTTTCATTCATTACTGCAAATGGGTTAACAAGGGTGGCCAAGCATCTCGTGTCAGTCCTCTGATGGCAGCTCTGCTAAATCATGTCCCTTTCTAAGGCCCTCAGTTTGGCAACCCACTTGCTGTTCCCAGCTAAAGCAATTCTGCAACACACTTTTCTAGCCACAGACCATCTGTAAAGAGCAGAATGGAGCCTTCCTCATTCATGGAGGTGAGTCTGAGGAATAAACTGCAGTGGTCTGGCTTGTTTGGTGGTTAATTATTCAGAAGTCACTGCATTGTGACAAAGCAATCCTCTCTTTCAGATATAAGACCACCCAGAAGTGATTGCTGTCCAGCACTGGGAACTGGAAAGAAAGCAGTGGGTTTCAGATAAACAAAGCTCCTCAGAAACCCTGAACATCCTGACTCGGTGATGAGGAATGCTAGAAGAGCTCTCATTTAGAGGTAATGTCTGAAAACTGCCAGAAATCTTGAAAGATTTTTCAAGCTAATATATGGATATAAATCTTGGAGACACTTTTTGCATTCTGTAAATAAATTCAAGAAATCCATTCTTTCAGAGAGGAAAAATTGTAGCTAT